GAAGGGAAGGGAAGGGAAGGGAAGGGAAGGGAAGGGAAGGGAAGGGAAGGGAAGGGAAACCCCGCACACTCATAACAAAGAGATCTGGTGAACATGACCGCATAACTAGTCCTCTAAAATCGTGGTACAGTGGTTGAGTTGATATTTTGGCTTCCTCGCGTAACTGTCCATTTCCCTCGGTTTTTCGTCTGCTTGGTTGAACTTGCTCAAAAGCCCGGCGTGGCAACATTCCATGGACGCTTCCGAGAGTGAGACATGTGGGGTTATAAAGGTATAAAACTCTGCTTGCTACAAGCAAAATGTTCCATGTATTTGTTAAACTCCATTGGTCATAGGTTGCACATGAGCAGCTTCTCCCCCCCCACCCCCCGGGTGCCCAATAAATACAAGGAACGCCTTTTGTGAGTTTCAGCATGATTGGGCAGGCTCAGACAGAAAATTCAGGCGCCCCTTTCTTTGCCCTCAGCATCAGCCGTCGGATTCGGAACCCGGCAAAAGGGTTTATCCACAGCAGAGAAGGCTGTCCCCCAAAGACGGACTTCATGCCTTCCCAGCGTAGCCTCCGCTCCCACGTGGGTTTCTCGCTCTTCAGCCTTTCGATCTCCTGCAAGTTAATTGGACATTTTATAGGTAGGAGTCTGAAATTCAGCAAACTCGGGGCATGGGCTGAGATTCAACCTCTCAGCTGGGGTGCAGCGTATGGGAGACTGGGATGGGTTGGGCCCGCGGGTCCAGACTGCAGGGGTGGGGGTCTTACTGTTTCGTCGTTGCATATGGAATGGATCTGAGTGCCAAACATCACGGCGGTGAACGTAAGAAACAGAAACCCTTCAAGGCACAAGAAAATCAGCAGGATCACAGTCACAGGTGGGGAGAAGTCACTGCATTCTGGAGAGGAAGGAAGGAAGAAAAAAGGAGGGTAAGTTTGAATCCATTCACGAGGTCTTTTTAGAATAATTAGCAAGTCAGAATAAACTGCGGGGTGGAATCCAAAACTGGCTTGCAAATGGTTGGAAGAAAATACAAAGGACTGTATTTATAGAAAGTTGTAAAAACATTGTACAATACACTGAAGAGACAAGCGTGTTACATGGGGGGGGGGGTAAGGGTCAGAGAGGGTGGGAGCATATTACACGTTGGCCAGACAGTTTAGGGGATTCCCACTGGTTGTGAACAGTGTCATTCCTATTTTAGGGCTTCCAAAACTTTAGGTGGACTCCTGAAAACTTCATGCACACATCTTTAAATCAGAAGGCCTCTGGTTGGCCCTTTCCAACAATCACATTTTATTAAAAGCCAGAAGCTTTCGTAACTAATGTGGCTCTCTTGCTACAATCCGTTTAATAATGTTGGCAACAGGACAGAAAAGATTGGTCACTGACTTCCTAATCTAACCTTCAAGCCTAGGATTTGCTCGTGGTCTCCTATCCAAATCCTAATCAGGTGTGACCCAGCTAATTTCTAAGCTCAGATATGATCAGCCACCTGCTGAAATGGAACTACGTTACAGTTTTCACGGCTGCCCCAGCAAAATATCTGAGGAAACCAGGATGGCAATATTCAACCATCATGCTGAATTGGGGTGGGGGGGAGTTGAGGGCCCCTTGCAGTTCTGGCACCACATGCAAACACCCCAATATAGCAAAAAATGACACAGACACATTGTGTTTTCTCTTTAGGACTATCGCAGCACGATCTAAGCATCATCTCTACCTCCATGCATAATTGAAAAAGGCAATTATTTCGAAAACAAAACTAAAAACATCGGCCTGTTGGAACATGTCACTCTACCACTCAACGAAATGCTCTTCTGGAAACGCTCCAGCAGTTTCCTTAACGAAACAAAATGAGGTGCATCTCTACCGAGAACCCACAGTCTGAACACTCAACGGTGGATTTCAACGTTCAGGGTTCGAAACCTTTCGGTGTCTATGTTTCAGAAAGGGAGTCTTCTCCCAGAAAATCGAACTCCCTTTGAATTTCCTTTTTCAAGACCCATCTTCCAATGGTATTCCATCCTTGAAGATAAGGTTGGAAGAGATAATGGTTCCTCTGCAAAACCTCCTCCAAAAAGAGTGAGAAGGTCCCTTATTTAACCAGATTTAGGCACCCACTGAATTATTTAATAAGAACTGTTTCTCGTTTTAAGGTATTATTTGGCCTTTCTACAGTTTTAATCATTCCGGTTTATCTTCCTCCTCCTTCTTGATGGCTGCTTGCTTTTGTAATCAATAACTTAAAATCCTTCCCTGGTTTCAGATTGGCACCGCAGTTTCTTTATGACACTGTTTCTCAACCTTGGGAACTTTCAGATGTGTGGACTTCAA